AGGTCGCGGACGGAGGCTTGTAAGGCAGGGAGAGAGGGAGGATCCTTGGGTGCAGCCGTGGAGGACTCTTCGAGGGCCTCTAACCTTTGGATGATGCTGCCAATCCTGGAAAGGGCGGTGCAGACAAGTGGTAGGAGGATGACTTCGCCAGCAGACAGATGCTGGAGCTGAGCGTCGGTAGGGGGGGGAATCGGGGGGGCTGCCTGTCCTATGTGGCGGAGAGTGCAGGCTAGTTCATCCCTTATCAGGGTGAGATTATCAGGGAGAGCGGGGGTAGGAGCCCTTGACTCGTAGGGCGAGGCACGACTGGAGGCTCGAGAGCCAGACCTTGAAGGGCCCGGACCAGGCCCCTCCATGGTGAAGGGGGCTGTGCGGGGTAGTGATGGGGCTGTGCACTTAGAGACTGAAGCCTAAGCGAGGGAGGAATTAGGTGTGTGGAGATGGTTGCCACGCAAAACCCTGGAGTTTTACCTGGCCGAATGCGGTAATGTTTTCAAGCGAGAGGAAAGTAGAGGGCGCGGAGCGTGTTCTGAAAGCTAAGGAGGCACCTCGATATTTATATCCTGCGTCTGGGTGGTCGCAGGCTACATCTATCTATCACTAAACAATGTACCATTCCTAATTTCTATCCCCTACCATCGTACGGGGATTCCGTTCGACCCTGACAAACTTTGCGTCTTGCTCGGACTACCATTTCCATAATCTTGTTGTGTTTCCGCAAGGGCGTTCGAACCCTCTCCGGTGAAAACACATGATTCCTTTGTCTCGCAGCTTTTGGTATGAGCGACTGGTCACACCTCTAGCCAACTCACCATCTTACTTACTCTGACGGGAGTGATCAGCTCAGTTGAGAGTCTTATCAAATGCCTTGTTGTCTTTGCAACTTGCCTGCATTGACTTTGAGGACTTTCTGCCATGATCGGACCAGTCAAAGTTGTGGAAAAATTCCTCATCCACAGATAGGCCTCCGGTTGGCTCTATACTGGGTGAGGACTAGACTGGGCTCCATGCCTCGTCCTTACGGGCACGGCCCGATAACTCATTGGACTGCTGTAGATTTCATCCCAACACCTTTGGTGCATGTCCGAGGTGGTCAACCTCGCTTAGCTCGTAGCTCCACAGTTACCCGTCCAATTGACTCCTTTCCAATTTTCAGACACGGCCTGAGGTCCCCTCTTATATGTCCTGCGAACAGCTTCCGGTTGGACGGACGGCGACGATCTATATGGTGTTATGAAGCATGCTCCGTTTTCACAGGTTTAGACGGTTGGGACACCAAATTCCGGCGACACTATTTCTGCGCGCAGGGCCAACGGAGGGGCCGGAGGGGGGTGTTGGCTATGAAATCTTCGCGGTTTTCAGGAGGTCTGTCTGCGGGGAAGGTCTGTGCATTCATATGTGTAACAGCACCCACCACCCTCGCCCTCCTAAATGGCTCACCACTGAGGCCCAATGCCAGAGCAAACCTGCATCAGCTATGGTTCTCATGATTGCTGGCAAAGACTCCACAGACAAAGCCCTCAGCAGCCGCCTCTCCCTCTTTGGCAGGATGTTTAAGGTAAAATATTACCTTACCTTTGGTTCTAACACACAATGCTCCAGATGCTTGGAGTTTGGCCACCACCCAACCCAATGCACCAAAACCCAACACTGCGTAATATGTTCTCAGGAACACCCAGCCCACCTCTATACTTCCGGAAGGTCTCACTCCTCTACCAAGGGCAAACCATGCCTTTACACCATGATCCTCTGCCTCAACTGTGGTGACAATCACCTTCCTACCTCTCCGGATCGTCCTACCTACCTCCATGCACACCAGGCAGCAACTGATAGAAGGAACAGAGCCGTTTAGCTTTCATTACTTTGTATTTCCTTTATTTTTTAGACTTTAGGTGGGGAGAAGGACTTCATTTTGTTATTTGATGTATGTAGTGCTGCTTCCACAGCCCCCAGCTCTATACACGAGATAACACCATACAATAATAATAATTGCTACTTCAATATTCTCAATATTCCACTGGTATGCAATATTGCTACATGCTAACTATAATACTAAGACTGTTTTGCATGGAATGATTGATGTCTTTTATTATTATCAGCCAGCCATCTAGTTCTTCCATTTCAGAATAGCAGAAAAATAGTTATTTTTATGTGAAAACAAAATAGGCCCTGGGTAACTAGACAGGATCTTAGATAAGAGTCTATAAGACTAGTATCAGAAATAGGGAGCAGTATAAGGGATTTCCACTGGAAGTGGTCATATTTATAACCTTCCAACTACTGATTTGTTTAAGAAACCTAAACTAAATTTTAATCTCTATGTTGAAGCAATTCCTGGGATTTTACTTTCCTACCTATTAGAACTCTCTTTCTAAAGTAGTTGAGGAATTATCAACAGAGCTTTGGTTGGTACATTGGTCTTAGCCCAATTTTTGCTAATTTTATATGAGTCATGGCAAGACTTGGTGCTGTTTTCAGCTTCATCCACAGAATATTGCATTTCAAGCAGCACCAAAGTCTTCAATAATCTGTATGCATTTGGGGAGATATTTGCAAGAATTTTAAACCACACCATTAATTTTTTAATTTTTTTACAAGTCCAGAATGTATTGAATGGAATGTGTGAACTCGCATGGTCTCGGTTGTTACATACCATGTTGCTCATCATTCTTTTGTCACCAGCCTCGTAACGTATTCCACTGTGTACTCAGCTACCACTGGGATACCGACCACCTGAAGATGGCCTACAAGGAGGATAACAACACTAAAATCACCACTTCCATCCCCCCCAAAAAAACTCCAAGAGTTTGAAAAAGCCTGTAACAATAATGAAATAATATAAAACAATGGAAAAAAAAACCCCTGAAAAAGTAAGTATACAAGGAGGAGTAGGTAGAAAATGGTGCCTATATAAGAGATATTAGCCAACAGCAGCTATGGGCAGGAATAAAGTTACAATACTTACCAAGAAATAAGTTGAAAAGTGGGCTCATCTTCTACTGGAAGTAGAGTTACTACCTATCGCTGGTAGCGGAAGGTGCCCAGTTGTACCAAGTAGAGTAAACCTTACACCTGAACCTGGTAGCTCCGAGAAGGAGCTGGAAGTAGGTTTGGCTTGTATGGAAGGTGGTGGGTCAGGCAGATGCAGCTGCTTAGCATTTTGTAGATGAATAGGAACTATTGCCCTTCGATTCTGTCCTTGTTGATAGCTGGTACCTCTAACTTCTCGTCTTTTTTATCCCTTTTCCTCCTTCTCTAAGCCGTTCTTGTAGGCCTTATCAAGGTCCCATCGGGATATCAGTTTTGCTTTACTGATATGACGGCCATCTCATTTGCTCTTCTTAGAGGCTGCAGCCACTTCTCATACCGTTTCTTGAGCAATAGTAGCTACACCCATTGCCTTTCCAGCTGCTTCACCCAATGCAAGTCCAACCTTCTTAACATCCTCGCTGTTATTGGAAGACTTTAATCCACCCTTCATTCTAGTAACATCTTTGGGATTGGTGGGCGATGAAACAGAAGTAATGTGAGAAGAACCATAATCAGTAGATAAAGGATAGCTGGAGGAACTTGGACTGGGTTCAATTGGAGAAGAAGCATTATTAGGCTTAGCCTTTTGCTAATCTCAAGAACCTGTGCTCAACGGTAGGGGTGAATGCCTGTTGCAGCAAAGGCAGACTTGACATTCTGTTGGGTAAGGGCTGCTTGGCGTACCTTTTAACATAAGGGAAAAGAATCTCCCTTATTAAGTGTTTGATAGCGGTGTGCACAAGACCAAGTGTCCACTTCATAGCTATAGAAGGTTGCAAGGTGACCAAAAAGGCCAATATCTAAAGGCTGTAAGATGTGAGTTGAGTGACTGGGAAAGCATAAGAGATGAATATCATGGGATTGAGCAAATTCGATAAATTCGATGGTGAGATATGAGGAGTAACCATCTAAGATAAGAAGCTGTGCCCTTCTAGTCTGAGTGTAAGGTTCAAAAACCTCTTGCAACCACCAAGTACGAATATCATCATTGGTCCATCTAGTCTTTGAAATGGCAAAACTAGTCAAATCTCGCTTGTCATAGTCATGATTGCCCATTAGGTAAGCTTCCCCCTCATATATATAAAGAGGTTGAAGTAACTTTCCTGTGGCAGAAACAGACTCCATCAAACTTACCTACTCTCGATTTCCGAGATGTCGGACCCATGGGTTTCGCCATTGGTGATGGCATACAACTTTGACCTTCTTTGCTACTCCTATTGCGAAGCCGTTTTCCTCGGCATACCAGATATCTTCTGAGCTAATTTGATATCTTGACTTTACATCTTCAAAATGGTCAAAAAGGCTTCTTATTCCTTTGGGCCTAGCAGCAGACTCTCTCTGGTAATCGATACAGCTAGCAAACCGGCTAGCAATCTCCGTATGTTTGTCTAAAAAGCTCGAAATCCAGTTCTTTCCAATTGTTACATTTTCCCCTTCCAACCTCTCCTGTACCACTGCCTATGCCATTTCTTGCAAATGAGAAAGCCTTGGTAGGATTCCTATGTTATCCAAACGCTTTACCCACTCTACTATCTTACTCTCCTCCTCTTCAGTGAGTAGCTGCTGCCCCTTATGAGCCTGGTGTCGAGGTTTTGTTTTGTTTAATTGCCAGTCGCATAATGTAGTACAGGAAACACCAAACTTCTGACTTGCAGCTCGAATACTAAGAGTTTTGTCATTCTTTAAAGCAGTGAGACCATGGATAATTCGGCTCTCATGGACTGAAATGGTACACGCTTTTACTTTTGGCATAGTGAACTGTGGCTGCACTGGCAGTTCTGCAGGAAGATTCCGATAGGGAGATGTTGTGCGATGGGTGGTCGGTTACCCCGTTCTGGCCGGTTACACGGTAAAATACGTTACGTAATTAGCATGAACTGTCCCACTGTTACCCTATCGCTCTGTGCTGGACCGTTTTCTGACACCGGTAAATTTATTCCCAACCCACTCCCGCGACCTTTCCCAAACCTGGCCAACTCAAACTGTTATCGTTCGCCCCCGCTTACCACCCTCCAATCTATCGACAGCACTCCCCTCCTACTCTCCACACCCCGAAAAATGTCCCCGCCAGCACAAATCGCCAGCTACACAATCCTCCCAATAACCATCCCGGCCACGCCCCTTGCCGGAACAGCAACCCACTTCCTTTATTTCCGCAAGCACTCCGCCAAGCAGCTGGCGCCACATGACCCTCGCTCGCTATTCGCCGTGAACGTCCCCATCGACTCCACAACTACGCACTTCCGCGCACTGTTCACTAAAATTGGTGGCGGCCGGGTGGAGAGAGTGATTTTCGAAGAGGGTGGAGGTGCTAGATGTGGGCATGGGAAGCGGAAGCGCGCCAGTGAGGATGAAGAGGTTGGGGGCGATGTGTGGGACAGACCGTTACGCAAAAGCGGGAGTACAGCTGTTGTTGTGTTCGTGGATAAGCCGAGTAGGGACATGGCAATTAAAGCGGCAGGCAAGGTTTCCACTACGGCCGTAGTTTGGGGTGATGGGATTAGCGAGGTTATAAATATACCTGCACTTGGGATATCACGTATGCTGCTACCTCACGTTCTCCCGTTCACCCTTCAAAATTCCTGATACGGTTATTCGTAGGGTACTTAACGCATCATAACTTAACCCACCCTTCCAAGGTCCACCTGCAGGCCTCGGTAAACACGTTCATGGCAGTTTTCGAAGGGGAGGAGCGCGCAAGACTTCGCGCGCTCGCCAAACGTAGACAGGTGCCCGATGAGGACGGGTTCATCACTGTTCTTCGAGGTGGGAGGACGGCGCCGGCGCGGCAGGAGGAGGTGAAGGCGGCGCTCGAGAAGAAGCGAAAGGATAAGCACGAAGGCTTTTACAGGTTCCAGGTGCGAGAAGGAAGGAAGAATCAACAGATAGAGTTGCTGAGGAAGTTCGAGGAGGACAAGAGGAGGGTTGCTGAGAGGAAGCAATTAAGGAGGTTTAAGGTGGGTTTTTGATTTCTTTATGACGGATGGATAGGGGGAGCTAATCGGGTTTGTAACCGCTTTGACCTATCCACGCGTGGCTACAATTCACATATTTGATAAAGGCAGGGAGTGGAAGTGGAGGGGCGCGCATTGTATAATAATGTTACAAAGAAAAATTACCTTCTTTGGATCCTGAATTGATGTCCTCTCATGGAGACTCCCCAACCCCACTCATCCCTCCACCTAGATGACACCCGGAACACCATCCACCTAAAATCCACCCCATTCCACACAAAATGTCCTAACCTGTCCCTCCCCATCTTCTCCCCCGACCATCCATGCCTTCTTAACCCCTGTCCCCAAGCGCCCCCCGCCAACCACATCCTGCATCTCAATCTCTTCATCCCATCCCAAACCGTTAACGACAAAGTGCGAATGGAACCGCAACGGATCTCCAGGGTACGCCATATACTGACACCCGAACCTAAGTCCAGGCGAGAGGAAGTATCCACGTTCGTGAAGGTGCTTGTAGAGTGGATATCCCTGGGTTCTTTCTGGCTGCGGCCCGGCGGCCAGCATATCAGAGGGGTCGGGGTGGTAGTGGTATATTGGATGGGAGGAGGACGGTGTCGGATAGTAGATAAGCACATTCGTAGCTGTTGTAGCTGTCGAAGCCTTTATCGGGTTTGGTACCGATGAATTCTCGAATATCCTTCTCCCCTCTTCGTTGTCCCCATCACCTCTAGCTGTTTGCTCGAGGCCATCCACCTCTCCCCCCTCACCATTACTCCTCCGAACAAAAATATCCCTCTTCTCCTCCACCCTCCGAATATACTCCTCAACCTCCCTTTTCCGATCTTGCTCGAGCTCCTCCAGATATTCCTTTTTATCCACCTCCCCCATGCCGCGCAGGCCACGCTCATGGGCACTCACGTCGTCAATAATGTACGCGGCGCCTTTCTCAACTAGTAGGAGGGCCTCCTCCGGCATTAGTTCTAATGGTAGGCCAAGAAATATGTTTTGTTGTGGGATCTGTGGCAGGGTTCCGGTCAGACAGCCTGACATCCGGTGTGTGCGGCGGACATCGGAAATCACTGGAAAGGTTAGCGGGGTGATGGATGGGAGAGTGGAGAGTGTTACCATCGGCATCGTAGAGGAAGTAGCGGGAGTTGACGAGGTAGATTGGGAATAGTTCAGGGGGGGTTGTAGGGGTTCCCATCGCACAAGTAGTGGTGGTTGGGCTTGGGATAAGTACTCGTACAGGAAAGAGTTAGCGCAGAGACCTACGGGGTAGGTGCCAATAAAAGCGATGAAGACATGTTACACTAAAGGTGGTGGACACGGAGGTGAGTGCTGGCACATGATTGCGGTTTAGAATCTATATAGTATGGTGCCGGGCATTTGAAATCAGCCCTCATGGGTAATTCAAGAAAATGCTTAGTAATATGCCAAGACTAAAAGGGTTAGGGTTATGTGGTTAAAATGTTTGTCTTTGTAGGGAGACCTTGCCTACTGTTCTTCTCATTCATGGTTAGAAATTAATGATCGTATTCTACCCATTGTAGCACCACTATTTCACTGCACTCATCTAAGTTCCTGTATAGCTCCTCCCCTAACCATACAACACCTCCCCCAATCACTTCTACTCCGGTCACACCGCCTTCTCCAGTTACACCTTCTTCTCCTGTCACACCTTCTTCTCCAGTCATACCTTCTTTGTCAGTCACACCTCCTTCTCTAATCATACCACCTTCTCTACTCACACCTCCTTTTCCTGTTACTGCTCCTCCTCTGGCCACTCCTTGTAACAGGAAGGGGTCTGAGGGTTTGGGTAGACCAAGGCACACCACTATCAAGTGCTGTTCAGGTGCCAGGATGCTAGGTACAGGTGTACAACCAACAAGTAAGGTTTGTATCAGGCAAGGATGTTCAGGTGTCAGAAGTTTAGGGTCAGGGTTCAGGGGTTCAGAGGTCACAGAAGTGAGAAGAAGAAAAAAGAAAAGTTCCTAGGTAGAGGTGTCTGAATTCAATCTAAGTTTATTTTTGCTTGTCAGGCCAATCGGGCATATTATTATTATTATATCATATTATCACGCATATTGAGCCATCCTCCCTTTGCGTTACAACTCCAGTCATTGAAAAATATTTCCTATTTGGGAATGACTTCTTTTTTTTTTTTTTTTTTTTTAACTCATATGTCTTTTGATTATGGCTCAACGACGTACATGCAGCTCGCGCTATGGCATTCAAAAGCCTTAATTCCAACGCATAAACAAAAGAAATCATAATCCAACCAGCCTTCCCCCGGGAACAAACAACCCGTCCAGGGCCAGGCGCCCCTTCCCCCACTCCCCTACCAGGCCAAAGCCCGGTCCAAGCGAGGCCACAAGCCTCCCGCATCGCCTACGATGACTAACAAGGAAAGTAAAAAAACAACCTGACCCGGCACAAGTCCAAGCCAACGAAGTATCAAGTAAAGAAAGCCCCTCCTGGGTTTCCGGCCCAAGGGGTACAAAAAGTAAAGCCCAGAGCACGCCGGCCCCAGTAAAGTAAAGAAAAATAACCCAGCAAGCGGGGTAAATCAGGTATTGACCATGTCAACCTCCTCAGCTTCCTCCTCGTCCACAATAGGGCGGGGGCGTAAGGGGCAAACAGGGGAGTGGGCATCATGGGGGCCATCGCAGTTGATACACTGTAGGGAGGAGTGACTGCAGGGACGGCCGCGAACACGGCAGGTGGAGGTAGGGCAAGAGTGATCCCTAGTAGAGTGCAGGAGTGTGCACCACCGGCAGGAGGCAGAGGAGGTGCACTTGTTTGTGTGGTGTCCAAATGAGTGACATGTTGAGCACTGGGTGAAGCGGTTGAAGCGTAGGCGACGCTCGGTACGGTAGGAGGAGGAGAAGGCTGAGAGGCGTTTGCCAACAAAGTGAGGAGCCTTGGGACCAGTAATTGAGATGACGATTGAGGAGGCAGACTTGCCTTCGCGGGATCCATCGGATGTGAGCCACCTGGGCTGCTCAGTGAGGGCAAGGCCAGGATTGAAGGTGGTAAGCTCAGCCGCGACATCAGGCAGGGAGCAGGAGGTAGGAATGCCATGAACCAGCAATTGGACGGCGGGGGTGTCGAGGTGGACAGTAGTCGCTCCCGGAATCAAGTGAAGGAACTGGCCAGCCCTGCTGTTAAGCGAGGTGGCCCTGGTGGAGTCCATTGTAGTGAGAGTGACCAGCCCCTCCCTTATGGAGACAGACTGGACGAGGGTTGAGGCAAGAGCCTGGTTGATGCTATCGCGTAACTGGACAGCAGAGCTGGGTAGGGGGGAGGAGTCCCTCTTGATGAGGAGCCTCCTTTCGCGAACGGTAAGACCCTTTCTGGCGGGGGCAGGCTTTGGTGGGGGCGCAGGCTTGGTGGACGGCTTCGCGGAGTCTGGGGGCGGCTTCCTTGCCCTCCTAGCAACTGTGGCCCATGAGGTGGCCGGGGCAGGAGGAGCTGGTGGGATTGGGGGAGGAACCCGGGGAACTGGGGGGGGAGCAGGAGTAGGAGTCACCTGTGGCTGCTGTGGTAGGGGTTGTGGGGGAGCGGAGGTAACAGTCTGCCGGCTCTCAGCGACTTCGAGCTGGGCAGCAAGGGTGCTGACCTCCTCAGTGAGGGAGTCAACCGCCTTCCTGTAGTCGTCGTGGATGAGCTGCATCATCTTGAAGATAATGAGCCACTCTTGTGTAAGGGGTGGGGCCTCTGTAATGCCCATGTCCAACCCGAGCTTCACAAAGAGGTTCTGGAAGTAGGGAGCCCCAGGGGCAGAGAACTCGAGAACCGCCTGTGGGATTGCTGGGAGGGAAGAGGAGGTATCGCTTCGTGGCCTTTTGGCAGGTTGGGGCCCGCTAGGGGCAAAAATGGGTGCCTCGGGATCGGCAGTAGGTGGTGTGGCCCTACGGGCCTTCGCCTTCGCCTTCTTGTTCTTCCCCCGAGGGGGATTAGGAGAGGGGGGGCGGGAGGTGGATCCCCCTTGCGCAGTATCATCAAAGCGCGAAACTCTGAAGTCCATGGTTGGGGTTGTTGACTCTAACTGAGGGGTAAAGAGACGAGGCTGTGAGAAAGGTTTTCCAGCCAATGACAGCGAGTCTTGGCGGAAAATTTGGTGTGGTTTTTTCTTTGACTGTGGTTGTAACGGGCACGGAGGATGTATTTGGGAATGACTTTC